CCCCCCCACCTTCTTCCTGATCTTCGTGAGGCCGCCCCTCAGGCTGCCGTGGCAGATGTACTCCGCCACCGTGGCGTACGCGTCGGGGCTCGTGACGATGCCGTAGAACGCCATCACGCAGGGGTGGCGCAGCGACGCGAGCTTCTCGGCCTCGCTGAAGACCTCGGCAGGGTTGGTGTCGTGGCCCTTCGAACAGAGATTGGGAGCATGCCGCGGCATGCGTCGCGGGGGGCCAAGCCGGTCAACGCTGCCGTTCAATAAATTCGTGGATGAAGATTGTGGACGGCACGCCAGCTCGCGAGAAGAGCTGCTGCGTGCCGCAGTATCGTTGGGTGCTAAGCGCGGCGGGCCCAAAATCTCGGCCCAGCGCCCCCACCTGGTGCAGCATCTCCTTCAGTGCCACCTCGACGCCCCGCCACTTGGCCAACCACACGCTGCCAAAGCAGCCGCGGCCCAGCTCCTTGACCTGAGGCATCCGCGGCACATGCACAGGCAGCCAGGGTCGGCGGCTGCCTGTGGGGAGCCAGAGACAAACGTAACCCAGCAAAGCACAACAAGCACCACCGCCCAACACTGCCCCTTAACCCCCCACGCGAACAGCTGTGCTTGTGATAAGCACCTGCCGTGAGGCTGCTGCGCCCATCGAGCCATCCGACACCTCGCCCCGCCTGGCCAGATCACCTTGACCAGATCATCCGCCTTGATCTGCTGTAGTCCGTTGGGGATCTCGGTGCCCGCCTTGTCCTTCTTTAGGAATTGCCCGTGGCTTGTCCACTCCCCAGTGTCCATCTGGCTGCCAACCGCAAGCTTGAGGCCTCCAAGCTTCTTCTTGCCGCCGCCACCGCCGCCGCCCACAGCTGCTACTGCTGTTGGCGCTGCGCCTTTGCCAGGCACGGCTGGCGGCTGGGCGGGCGTCGGGGGCGCGCCCACTGCTGGCACTTCGTGCTGCCGGACCCCTGCCAATTGGCAGGATAGAAGGAATAAACGCAGCCGGGCATGGTGTTGCGCAACTGCTCTCAAATCGTGACCCTCCCTCGCAACTGTCTGCATCCTGCATCATGATTTTCATCCTGAATCATGCTTTCACACAGGCGTTGGTGCCGCCCGCCTGCACTGCCTCAGCGCTCACCTGCAGCGCCATCGCCCTCCTCCGGCCCGCTGCGGTCCTCCACCAGATCCGCCAGCGGTGCATCCGCGTCGTCGTCGCCGTCCGACCCCGTCGCGCGCCGCCGCGTGCTGGTCCGAAACTTGTCCTTGAAGCTCAGGCCCTGAGCCAGCGCTGCCTCAACCTGGACGTTCAGGTTCTGGTATGAGTCGTCAAGTCGCGCGCCATGGGCCATGCGCATGGCGTTCCAGTGAGTGTGGCATTGTGCTCGGCCACTCAGTTCTAAATCATGTCCTGGAATGGATCAGGACAACTTCCCGCTTGCATGCAACCTGTTCTGACTGCATGCAAGTGCTTGCATGCGCACGCCTCAGGTGCGTGTGCATCCTGCTGTTGAGCATGCGCACCACCCAGTAATGCTGGCAACTCAAGGCGCCTGCTGCATGGCCCCGCCTTGCACCTCGATTTCAACTTCGTTGATCCTTTCCTCCTCGGCCGCTGGAGCGCCACCCTGGTGGAATCTGAAGCCTAGGCAGGTCTCAATCTCTGTGATCGTGCGCTTGGCGTACGACTCAGAGTCCTCCCGTTTGCACCCCTGCGCACATGCGCCCCGGCGCCACCGTCAGGCAGGTGGTGGTAAGGGAAACGTCAGCGGACGTGCCACTTTCTGTGCAACCACGCCCAACGCAGCCTACGGGAACGACATGCATGCACCGTGCCGTACAGGGACGGGGGGCCAAGCACGTGCCGTCGTGTTGGGACTGCATGCGGGAACGCACGCCACTGGAGCGCTCCTCCCTTCAAACACGCCCTCAGTCTGCACAGCCGAACCCATTCTCGCGCACTTCTGTGGCCTCCCCCTGCTCCTGGTGTGCATCCTCCCCCGCATGCTCGTCCGGCGGCGTGCTCGAGCGCGGCGGCGTGTGCGGCGCGCTATGCGCCGCGGTTGCTTCGTCGCCCTTTGAAAAGGACTGCGCCCTGCTGCGCGCAGCTGGGATCGCAAAGGAGGGCCCCTGCAAATTCACACGTCCGAGAGACAAGCACCATCATCTCGTGTGCGCAGGCGCTGCTATTGAACAGGCAGTGGTTCGAAGAACAAAAGTGCTGCGATCGCACCTGTTTCTGCTGCCCCCCTCCCACGGCAGAGATGTCTTTGGCCTTCACGCTAGACAACGATACGCTGATTCGACCGAGAAGGTTGTCCATTTATGCGTCCCAGCCACCTCCGCTGACTGGTCAAGCCTCCGTTCCTCGCATGCGCTGCTGTGGGTCTCTGAAGTATGAAGTTAACCCCGATCCGTTATCTTCACATCTATCAAGCCACCAGCAGCACAAACGGGTGGCCCGTGCGATGTGCGAAGCACCACAGAGCACACGTACACAGCAGTACGGTGCTGCTGGGAGAGCCTGTTGTGTACTGGCCCTGAACACGTGTTTCAGTGTGATTCATGTGCAACCATCTGAGCTGTATGCTTCAACAGATCCCTAGTGAAACAGGGGTGGCAATCGGCGCTCTGGTCAGCAGTGCGTCACCGGCGGCAACCGAAGGCCTGATCAACAGCGCGGCTGCTGCGACCAATGGCTGGTGATGCGGCACGGAGGATGCGCCACAGACTCATTGCTTGTGTGTGGCAGGCGTTCAAGGCAGCCCGGTACAGTGCTCAAGTGCTTCACACATGACGACGATCCCCTGGGACTTCGTAAGGAGGCTGCCTGCCCCTTAGATTTCGCATCACGTGTTGCTATCTAGTTTTCTGCTATTCACGGCATAATATAACACCGGCCTACTCCACTTTGAAACCAGCGACCGCTTGGGGTACGCGCAATAGCCGCGCCTCCCCAGCCTACTCGATACAAGTTATAACTCAGCAGTTTACATCCACGTAGCCCTGTTTCCCGTCACACTTTACCTGTGTTCGAGACTTGCCAACCAACCACGGCCTGACAGAGCCCGTATCAGCGCGGGACAATGAAGAAAGACACGGCGTATTGCGGCGAGACAGCAAGCGATCAGGCGCTGGACGTGGAGGCGCTCGGGGACAGCGGCGCGGGCTCGGGGTCAGTGGGTGGCGACAGCCTGGCCGCCTGGAGCTCCGATGACAGCAGGCACGGTGACCGCAGTTGTAAAGACGTCACCGTCACCGTTCAGGTGCCAATGAGCGGCTTCTGGGCTGGGGCCACGGCAGAAGGGGCGTCGCGCCCGCTTGTGCCCACAGCGCGCACCCCGAGCGGCCCGTGTCATGCCACCCTGGCTGACACTGCCATTGGAGCCGCGACGCGCGCAGTACAGCACCGCAATCGCGCAAGCGTGCACGCAGCCGCGTTTGCAATTCCACATCTATCGTTGCCAGTAACCCGCCCCTACCCTCACCCGCACCTGCCCTCAGGGCCTGACCCTGCGCGCACCGCGCCGCGCGTGGTGGGCGCGCAGCGGGAAGCCTGCGCATCTGCTGTCTGGCGTCACCGGTTCCTTCAGCCCAGCTTCCCTTTCCCTTGTAACAGTGAGTCGCGTACATGCTGTTTCTGAATCGCAATGGATTGTTTTTGGCAGATGATGGTGGCGTCGGCATGGCATTCGCCCTTGGCACACTGCGAGCGCGCGCCCAAAGCGGCGCCCGCCTTGGGCCAGCTGCCGCGCGCGCTCTTGCATCATCCGCGCCGCGCACCGGCCTCGCCGCCCCGCGCGCGCACCCCGCCTTGTCAGGGCCCAAGCGGCAGCGGCAAGAGGGCGCTGCTGGATCTCATCGCCGGCCGCGGGGCCCCGGGGAGTGTCGAAGGCACCGTCTCATTCTCCGGCGTCCCGCCCACCCGTGCTTTTCTGCGGCACCGCACCGCATACGTGAGCGGGCAGCGTGTCCCGGTGGGGCAGGGGCATCGGGCATCTCGCATTGCTGCATGCGGGCGCTGTGCTTGCAGCATCACCACATGCAGTACCCAATCCTTCACTGGCCCTCACGCATGTACTGGTGCATAACAACGTCCTGCGCAACAGGTCGAGGCCGAGGATACGCTCATCCCAGGCCTGAGTGTCAGAGAGATGATCTCATACACCGCTGAGCTGAGGCGGCCCCTGGCAGACGGCGCAGCTGCGAAGCGCGCCGCCGTTGAGGTGCGCCGCCGCCGCTGACGAGTGCATGGGTGTGCTCGTGGGGGTGGCTGTGGTGTCGGTGTCTGTGTGCGGGGTGGGGCTGGGCGCTGCAGGCACACACGACTTGTGTCAGAGCATAGCTGCAGGGGTAGCAACTAAGCAGCAACATCAGAAACAGCACTGGCAGTATCAGCAGTAGCAGCAATAGTAGCAGCAGCGTGTTGCGTTGGCATTCAGGGCACGCCTACCAGGCTGAACTGGCGCCAACGACCCAAGCCGACCCCCTGTCCTCCCCCCAGGATCTGACTCGGCGGCTGGGGCTGTCTGGCTGCAAAGACACTGTCATCGGTAAGCTTTCATGGCCGATGCGCTTCATCACACAGGGCTTAGCGTCCGACCAGCATGCACGGGCCCTCATTGGCCGTTAGCGTGGGCGCGCACGCCTGCAGGCTCCGACACCGCCGCGCCTGCCGCCGCCCTGCAGGGGACCAGGGCATCAGCCGGGGCGAGGCGCGGCGCACCAGCATCGCCGTGCAGCTGATCTCTCGGCCCAGGTAATGCGGACACGCGGCAATTTGTGTGGTTTGTGCGTGATGTGTGAGTATATTCTTGCTGGAGCGATTTCGTGGCCGAAACGCCCAGCAAGATAAGGGAAACTGGCTTGTGCAAGTAGCTTGTTTGGGCTTGGCAGCTGCCGGCTATGCGCAGATCTTGACTAACAGGCGTCCCCACATTTGCTGCTCTGCTCGCTCGCCCTGGCAGCGTCCTCCTTTTGGATGAGCCGATCGCAGGGCTGGATGTCGCGAACGCAAACAAGGTACACCACACATTATGGGGTCTGCAGGGGAGATGAGCCCGAACAATCAGTCAAGGCCTCCTGATGCGTCCGCAATCCTGTAACATCGTGCAAGAGATGCAGCCGGGCAAGCACTACATGCCCGCTTGTGCCCGCGCCTCGCAGGTGGTGATCGCTCTGAAGGACGCGGCGGCGAACGGCGCTACCGTGATTGCCACCGTCGCTCGCCCCACCGAGCTGGCGCTGCAGACAGCCGACAGGTGAGGCGGCTCTCAGACTCGACAGCGAGTTTTGTGCTGCATTACACTGCGTTGCTTCACTTTGCGTCCCCACTCCACAATTGACACCCTGCCAGCTTGAAAGCCACGTTACGGCGGCTTGAAAGCCCCAGCCTTCACCGACCCTGATCCCTCGTCGTGCTGTGCGCGCTTTGCAATTCCCAGCCTGGCGGTGCTGCTGCGCGGTCGGGCGGTCTACTGGGGCCCGGGCGGCGACGCAGCCCTGCGCTACGCTGCGTCCCTGGACCTTCCCGCTGCCTCGAGCCTGAGCAGCACGGGGACCGGAGCGGTGAGCCTGCTCGCGTGGCTGGCGCCTTCGACTGTTCAAATCGGGTTTCTTATAAATTAGCCCCAGATTGGGGTCGCTATGCATTTCTTTGGGACTGTAGATACGTTGTACTGCTGCTCGGCCACCATCCTCATCTACACACACGCCACCTGTCCCCCAGGAGTGGCTGTGCGAGCTGTACGCCGCCGCTGCTGAGGACGCGCAGCAGGCCGCTGCCCTGGCAAAAGCCCACGACGCGTCGCGCGCGCACATGGTGAGACCCGGAGCCCCCCCCTGCGGCTCGCGGCACCAAGGTAAAGTGCTTCCCGTCCCGCAGGCTGGCTTGAGTCTCACACGTGAGCGAGTGTAGACCTGCTCGCCTGCCCCACCCCTTGTTTTGGCCCACCACGTGCCCTACCCCAGGTCGCAACCAAGCCCCACCAGCCGGGCAAGCACGGCGGCCGCGCGGCCCCGCGCGCCGCGGCGGTGGTGGGCCCGTCGGGCGCCGCAGCGGCGCCCTGTTGGTGGGCCCTCGCGACGCTCCTCAGGGTGAGGCAGCGAGCACTGGCCTCCACGCATCATCAAGCACACCTGGACGCGCCCAGCCCCGCTCCGGCTGCCCTGCCGCCTTTGATTGCGCCAAGCAGCTTCACGCCCACGCACACGCTTGCCTCCTCTCCATTTTAAAACCACCCCGCCGCTGCAGTACCGGGCCGCGCGGCGCTTCACAAGCCTGAGGTGGTTGACGGCGCGCATCCCCGCCTACCTGCTCATCGCCCTGGTGCTATCCGCCCTGTACTTCGGCATGGGTGCGCCTCCCTTGACGTTACGCATCCTTGTTACAAAGGCCGGGCTGCACAGGGACCCCGCCGAGCCAGTGGGCGGCACGCCTGCTGACGCGTACAGCTTGTACATGCAGCCTGGTGCATGCCCGGCCCACATCCGTCAAATAACATACCCTCTTTCACGATTTCTGTTCGCAAACAGGTGCTGACGTCACGATTTTGACGAGCCTGCAGATGTCGTGCCTGCTGTTTATGTGGAGCGCCATCCCCTTCTGGCTCTCTGTGGCCTTCCTGCCCACCAGCATCTCTGGTGCGGGCGCCCCGCCGCATGCCGCAGCCCTAACCTCATGTACGCACTTGTGCAGCAAACGAGCGCCCCGCTCGTTGCCATGTTGATGCACGCGCCTTGATGGAATCGGCGCGGCTTAGCTGCTGACCCCTGCTGTCGGGCGCCCTTCTCGCCTCCCCGCTGCCCCTGTGCACCTGCAAAGAGCGGCGGCTGTTCCTCAGGGAGTGCGCCGACGGGCTGTACCACACACCCACCTACCTCGTTGCGAAGCTTGCCGAGGGTGAGCGGATGGAAGCTCCAAGCACCGGCAGCGAACGCGAGGCCCTGACATCCCTGAGCCAGGCCGTGGGTGTTGCCCCAGGAACTGGCGTCTGCGGCGGCTCACAAGGCGTGCTCAGCATCGCCTCGCTTCTGTTGGCATGCTTGACGCGACGCTTCTGCGTGTTATGTCACCGCGTGCCGCCCGCTGCCCGCAGAGATCGCGGTGGTCACCCCAGTGAGCATCGTGGCGGCCGCCATCGTGTTCAGCCTGTGCAAGGTCCAGGGCGCCCTGGGGGTCTTCATGCTGGCCACGTGGTCCGCGTTCTGCTGCGGCATCGGTGCGTCGCGCGGGCACGCGCGCGCGCCGGCCCGCCCAGGGGTGCGGTCGCGTCCCTCGTGGCCAGCTGCTTCGTGCGTGCGCACCGGGCGTGTTATCAAGGGGGCGTGTTACCAAGGTGCACCCGCCGTCCCGCCCCTTGGCTGGCTGCTCCGCCGGTCCGTGCGTGTATGTTTCTGCTAGCAAGCTCCTGCCGACCTCTCTGCATTCTACGCAACCGCGCTTGCTTTACGCCCGCAGCCCTGGCCTACGCCGTGGCGGCGTGGTCCCCCACCATTGACATCGCCTGCACTGTGCTGCCGTTGATCGTGGGCGTGCAGCTGTTGTTCGCAGGCTGCCTCGTACCGGTGCGTCACTCGCGTCACCCGGCGCTGATGGCCACCACTTTAAACCTGCCTGGTCTCGGCTGCATCATCCCCACCACCTTCATCGCAAATTTGCTTTCTGCATCGCTGGTTGTTACCCACTGATCCCTTCAGTCCCCAGGTTGCTTCAGCCTCCAGCAAGCGTCAAGGCGAGTTGCAGCCACGTCGCTTCACCACTTGCCGCGCCTGCCCTGCCCCCCCCCCCCATCGCCTCACACCGACGCCGCCCAACGTTGCAACGCCCGCAGCTTGTGGACGTCCCGCGGTGGCTGATCTGGGTGTCGTGGCTCAACCCGCTGCGCTACACCTGGGCGTCAGGTGGGCGCAGTGCGGTTGCCAGATCAGGCGGGGCCTCGCCCTCCTCATGCGCGTGCTGTGTCCGCAACCTCCACGCAGCACACCGCTCCCCCAGTCCCGCCTCAGACAAGAAGCCCCGAAAGCGTCGCAAACCCACCCATCACCTTGCTGGTCACTCACCTCTACTGTCCCTGACACACGCGCCGCAGTCATGGTCAACCAATTTGCTGGGTCGCGCACCAAGTTTGTCAACGGGCAGCCCGTCCTGGTGTATTTCCAGATGATGGCCGAAGACCCCATGAGCAACACGGGCATTGTTTGGGCTTTCTTTGCAGGGTTTGCGGTTGTGGCGGCCGCAGGGATGAGCGTCAGGCGCCGCCGCTGCCGCTGCTGAGGCGGGGGCGGCCCTCTGTGCTGCGGCGACGTGCCATGGCTTCCGGCCTCGCAAGGGGCCATTTGAGTATGCTGGCGCAACGCTAGCAGCGATTAGATGCTTGCAGACCATGCCAGGACAGAATTCTGGCCGGTGTGCAGGGCGCTGTATGCTGTATGATGGGTGCTTGGCGGAACACTGGGGGGGGGGGGCGTGCGCTCGCCACAGCGCTCTCTGCCCATGCACGTGACATTACGTGCTGCAAATGTCGTGCAATGCCCTTGCCGAACTGCCGTGGCGACGCCATGGGAGTCGCGTGAGCGACTCCCATGACAAAGCGAGTGTATACGGGCACTTGACACTGGCGATCCTCGTATTCGTTATTGCATGAAGGGCTTGGCAAGGCTTGGCGCTGTCTGCACGGCTTCCGCCAGCCCTGCTTGGTTGGTTGCACCTGTCGATTGTGGCGGGAAGCATGCCCAGTGCTGACACGCGGTCGGATGCCCTTTGTTGGTGTTTGATGCCGTTCCGGCTGACCTTTTCATTCACACTGGCACACTTGCGCAAACGGGCGCCGCACACGGCGTTTGCGGTGATGCGCAACTGTTTGAATTTGGTGCGGCGATGTGTGCCAAAGGCACGCTGAAGAGTCTAGCGCACCTGCTGCTGAGCCGACTGCAATTACCAACGTCGTTGGGTGCTCCTGCACAAACCAACACGACGTTGAAAGGCGCCCGGCGCGCAGGGCGCCCAGGCTGCTTGCTCACGTTGACGCACGCGCCTTGCCGTTTTGAAGCCCAGGCCGGCCTGCCTCTGCCGTCGTGTGACCGCCAAATAGCCGAATTTGCAAGCGCTGGCGCGCCTGCGCACAGATGCACGACGCCGCTCCTGGCTTTCGTGCATCCCCGTGCCCTGGCTGGATGGTAGGTTCCTGCACATATGTGCGGTGACTTGTGTTGCCATGCTCTCCTTGCGCCCTTGCCTCACTGCCCGTCCAAGAGCGCATGCAGCCACCTGGTTGCATAGCCCTGGACTCTAGACGTTTACACACTGATGCAGTCCTGCAAACTGCAGTGACATGTTGCTCGATACATTCAAACTGCACACCCGCTGTGTCTGGTGCGCGTGCCCCCGGCTGCCACCCTGAATGTACGTGTGTGCCAATCGCGGCAAGCCCCGACCCCGCTGCGCTCCATCCGCCAGGGGACCTCCTCCGCAACCGGACCCCTTGCCGCCAACTTCTATGGGAGGCACGCACGCGTCAGTGTGACCGGGTGCGCAAGAGCAAACCCCACGTGTGCAAAGGCGGCCTGCCGTCAGGCCTGGCAGCACCATTCTGTGCGGCCTTTGGGCGTGGGCAGCCCCCGGGTGGCCTCGACTTCCTGTTGAGTTTCTCGGGCTGCGGTTTTGCGGCAGGCTTTTCTGCTGTGGTATCTTACCTCGGGTTCCGCCACAGCGCGTTGGCCCACAAATCCGCTCTGCGCCGGCAACCTTTGCCGCACGTGCGCTGTGCGTGCTGCCGCCTCGGTCTTTCACGATAACATCCTGTCGCTGCAGTTTCATGATGACACTCAAGCGCCTTGTGGCCCTGCGTTCCCGGTGTGCCGCTGCCGTGCACACCTCCACCGCAGGCTTCGCCCTGCCAGGTGTGTCTTGGCCTCTGCGTTCCTGCCGCAAACTTAAAGCGGAAGCGCGTGTACAAACATAAAGGGACGGGTACGTCCAACGTGAATGTTACTTCGCAGCCCTTTCTCCTGCGGCAATTTGGCTAGCATTTCATGTTGAGTTTTATGCGGCGGCGGGCGCGGCTGCACCGATGCGTGTAATGTCTGATTGTGTGCCAGCCGGGCGCTCAGGGCCCTTTTGTGCTCAAAACAGGTGTAAATGGGCGTGCAAAACATACGTGCGCCATTCAAACAGCCCACAAGGCGATGCAAACAGTCCAGTGAGGCAGGCTCCTTCTGTAGTGCTGGAAGCCACTTGCACTTGCGTACCATGCAACAACTCTCAAGCACCACTGCACCCACCCGTCCCCCCGCAATCTCGGCCCAAACAGTAAAGGCATCGCTACGAAACTGTGAGTAGACTGTTCAGGGTTCATCGTGAGGAGCGTGTCAGCCGAGCGCATATTCAAACAGAGATGTATTGGCCTGTCAAAAGGGGGCAAAGTGATAACGTGCACATGGCTGCCTGTGCGCATTAGGCAGAGAGGCAGGTGCAAGACACCAAAGTAGCAGTTGTTGCAGTGCAGTCTCTGCTGCAGCCGCCTGCCCACAATCCATTTGCTGAGAGACCAGCAACAACACATCCTCGGTGCCCTCACAACGCAAAGCTTGCAGCGTGGCAGCTGCAGCCACAGTGCACTTTTGGGCGTGCACCCCTCCCCCCGACTGCAGCTGGCCGCTGCCGCCGCGTCGCCTTGGGGCGGGCAGTGTCGACAACCGGATCACTTGTAGAGCTCAGGGAAGCGCGTGATCAGGGCCTGCAGGACCAGCACGATCGCCTCCGCATCAAAACCCTCCAGGGGGACCACCGGGTGGTGGGCGCCCTCCAAGACGGCCGCACCGCCAAAGCCGCCGCCGCCTCCCGCGCCGCCTGCTGCGAGGTCCGGGCCTGCGACGGCGCCGGGGCCGGCGCCGCCATCGGTGCTGGCCGGCCCGGCCGCCCCCTCCGCAAAGGGCGCGCCGGCGCCGGCCGCGGGGCGCGCGTCCGGGGCAGCGGTGGCGCGGGCGGGTGTGGCCGCCGGCGGGGCCTTGTAGGGCTTGAGTGAGGGCGGCAGCCAGGCCACGCAGGGGGCGAGCGCCTCGGCCAGGGCCTGCAGGGGAGGGCAACGCAAGCACCGCGCGCGACTTGGCGGGACGGATCAAAAGAGAGTCAGAGGTTGCGGCCAGGCTGTGATGCTGCGTGTCATCGGGTGTCGCATGCCGCCTCTCTGCTGCTCAAGCGCCCGCAGCGGCCCAGGGCAGCCCCCAGCGGCGGTGCTGCACCCACCCGTGCGTCCATCTCTGTGTCTGCGGCGTTGGCGTCGACGTGGTGGCACACCTCCAGCAGGAGGCGCAGCACGTTGGCGCTGGCGGGCGGCAGGCGTGCGGCCACAGACCCGACTTGGCTGCGGAGGCGGGTTGCAATAACGGCCGGCCATGGTAGGGTTGCGTGGAAGATGAGGAGGACGACCAGCAGAAGCGTGCGCGGGCTGCGTGTTTAGCAGCAGACATGAGGGGACGAACCACAAGTGTGTCCGGCCTGGCAACGACACGAGTACGCAATCAGCACACAGCCCTGAGCTCACCCTAGGTCTCCTGCGGCAATGATCCAGTCTGGCAGCAGCTTGTAGGTGAGCAGGGGCTCCTGGAGGCCTGAAAATGAGCGTAGTTGGGAGGGAGTCAAAGCGCAGGCTTAGAGTAGGATCAGGGCAAAGACCGACGCAGCGAAGGTGCATCAACGTTGAGCTTGCCTGGCAAGGCCGCCAACCAGCCCGCTTGTCAAGCGGCCAGCCCCTTGCGATGTACTCACCCAACAGGAAGCGCTTGAGCAGGGCCGCCACGACGTGGGGGCTGGTGCCTGGCGGAATAAGCGCCATCCGGCCGCCCGCTGCACATGATTGAGCGCATTGAGAGTGAGAGAGGTGATGATGATGAGTAAAGGCAGGGGTACTTCTCTGCGCGATGGCAACAGCACGTGCACAGGGGATGCGCACAGCAAGAATGCACGGAGTTGCGCAATGTGCATGCAGGTTCACAACCACAAACCCACTCACCCAGGCACATACCCACAAGCCCAACCACCCATCCACACACACAAGAAAACACACACACACACGAACACACACATCACCATGCCCACAAACACGCTCATGCATTGACACACGCACACGCACACGCACACGCTCACCCACCCACCCACATATACACACACACCAACGCAACCACCCATCCACACACAGACACACACAGACACACACACACACACACAGCACCATACTCACGAACACGCCCGTGCACATGCACACGCACATACAGGAACACACAACACACAGATACACAAAAGGCACACTGTTCCACAGGTTCCGTGTATCTCAAGCCACTCTTCATCCCCTCACCCAGAAGTGTGGAAACAGCCTCCACCTCCTCGTGCGGCGCCTCGTCTTTAAAGATGCCCGCCACGGCGACGCCGCCGCCCACCGCCAGCGCGGTGCAGCAGGCCAGCACCAGCTGCGGCAACGGCTGCTCGCTGCGGCAGAGCGCCTGCGGCGGCGGAGCCGTGAGCGTCGACGGCGGCAACTCGAAAGGGCGCGGCAGCTGGGAGATTGCTTGCACCAAATCGGACACATGCCATGAGTTATTCGCCCGTTCATGCACATCTCAGGGTTTTCGCAGTCTGGCGGCCTGGTTGGGGGACAAACGCCATCAGCATGTTTGGCACTGCCTGCGATAATGCTCAGCCCACCAGCAGAGGGTCCCCTGTGGCGAGCCGCTTGAACCCCTCTGTGGCGGTGCTGACGAGGCCGAGGCTGGTCTGCCGCGCGATGGCGCCCAGCCTTGTTGGAGGCGCGGCACCGAAAGCGGCGGAGGCGGTTGGGCGTCAGGCACCGTCCCCGGGCGCATGCACTGACAGCGTCACAATTCGCTGGCCCCGGCACATCTCACGCTTGCATGGCTGCCGGGATCCCAGGTGATCTCACAGCGTCGCGCCACAAAAGCATGACAACACCCCAATTTCCTCGCACCCGAAAATCTTGGCGCCGATCCCGCTGGCCCGAACTGAGCTCGCAGCCGGCGCCGCCTCGCCCGTGCGTGCGGCGACCTCCTGCCCTTGATCAGACGCGTCGCCTGCCTCCTTGCTCGCGGGCTCCGCTGCCGGCGCAGGGGCGGCGGCGGGGCCCCTGCTGACCACCCCGGCGCTGCGCTTGATGATGGATGCCAGCCGGAGGGAGCCCAGCTTGAGTGCTGCATGGGCCGAGGGGGGAGTGAAGTGGCGGCGCATGCGGGGCTGTGGGTGAAAGCATGTGCATGTTCTTGCGTTACGATCAGCGGGCTTCACGCATGTACAGCCCGGGCTGTGGCACGCCTGGGGGAGCAACTGCACGTCTGCTCGCGTCAGCGGGTGCACCTTCAAACGTGCTCTGGGAAGGGGCGGCGTTCGCCTGTGCCTCGTTCTGCTCATGCGAAGATGCTGGCGCTTGCTCCGCGTCAGCGGCCTGCACCATCACTGGCAAGTCTGCTTCAACGTCGGCGTCCCCAGCGCCACCCTCAGCACTAGCCCGGGCCGTGGGCGCGGGCGCGTCGGCGGGCTCCACTGATTCCGATCCAGGCGCTGCAGCCACGGCCGCTTCTTTGTCTTCACCAGACACCGTCTGATGGTCCTCATGAACGCCCTTCAAGTCAGCTGCTGGCTCCATTGCAAGAGTTTGCGTGATCTGGCACTCGTCACTCGTCGCACCCCGATGGAACTTTCAGCGAACAAACAACACAACACACAACCTTACAATTTGATTGAATAAAATTTGCCTTAACTGACATCGAACACATTGCCATCCAGTGCTCTCCACCGGTCCCTTTGCATCAAGCAGCTGCAGTCAACACACGGGTGTACCTAGCCACTGGGTGCACGCAAGGGCCGCTTTCTGCCCCAAAGAGCGTGATAAACTCTCAAGTCAGAATTCAGCGAGCGTCTGGGCGCGGCCAACCACCCAGCGGCCCAATGATGCCCAGATCGCTCATAGTCCTTCTGGCCGTGGTCGGCTGCTCAGGCGTCAAAGCAGCATTCGAGGTTGAAACGGCTGGCGCGGCGATCACGTCCCCAGCCAGTGCTAGAAGGAGGTGGGTCACCTGCACGAGCGGGAACCGTGCTCGCGGCCTGAAAATGGCGGTTGTGATGTAGGTGTGCGTTTGATCTTGGTTGCAATCACGCGTGCCATTGACAGCGCCTTCGGGGTCTAAGCGGATTGATGACCGAAAGCCTCGGAAGGAGGGGCCCAACGTGGACGGCAGGCCGCCAACACGCTGCAATGGCTGGTACATGATTTATATGCGATATCTGGCGCCAGACATGGTCTTCGTCAATGAGGTGGCACCCCCATGGTGGGCCGCCTCGTCATGCAGCAGAGCAACCAGGCTGTGACCGCCTCTTGCATCCAATCAATGCTGCCCTCTGCGCCAGGTTCGATGTGGCGCTGGCCAACTTTGGCGGTGAGTGCCACACGTGCAAAGGAAGGCGGTAAGAGAGGGGAAGGGCACACCGGCAGGAGTGACAACGTGCACACGGCCATCTCGTCTAGTCAACGCCTGAAAGGCCAGACGAACAGTTGCCCCGCGACCTTCTTCGCAGTCCCCAAGTACGGGGCTTTGCTGAGCGGCCAGCTGGTATACCCGAATGCGGACGCCTCCTACGGCTGGCATGCGGTGTGCACCCCGGCAGACTGCAGCTTCGGCTGCCTGCCATTCAATGTGAGCCCAAACCAGCCCGCCGGGCGTGTGAAGGGAATGCAGAAGGCCCCTCCGCCACCGCAGCACCTGCACCCCGAAAGCAGCGCGGCGGTCAGGGGTTGCAAATGGCTGCAGCGAGCTGCTGAGAGCTGCTGCTGCCGGCCGACGCTGTCGCCGCCCGCGCCGCGCTGAACGGCTGGTGTGCGCAGGAGAGCACGCCCCCATTGGTTTTGAAGAAGGAGCCCGGCAAGCGTTACATCATGCTGCTGGACAGGGGGCCCCGTGAGCGCTGCGGCAGCGCAGTGGGGGGGCGCCCTGCAGCACATGGTCCAGGAGGCCCGCAACCACCAGCGGGCGCGAGCACCGCCCCGATGACGCCGCATGCCAGGCGCCGCGCATGCACGCCACGCGCTATGGGGGTACCGGCCGCGTGCCAGCCTCCGCCGCCCACTCAAGCGACCGCACGCGCTGCTCCGGCCCCCGCCGCGGGCGCGCAGGCGAGGGCACGGTGGACCTGAAGAAGCCATGCTACTTCTTGGACAAGGCGTGGAACTCCCAGCTTGCGGGCGCAGACGCGGTGCTGGTGGTGAACGACCGCGAGGGCGACCTCAGCACCGCGGTGGTGCCGCAGGACGAGGGCGCGGCCAGGTGGGGCCCGGCGTTGGGGGCGCCCCGGGAGGGCCCTGCCGGGATAGCAGTCGGGTGGCGAGCGGCCGACCTGCAGCGCTTAGGCAGCCGCAGATGTCGCCGGTGCAGCCCAGCAGCCGTCACCTACGCGGGCCGTGGGGACACTGTCACGAGGGGGCAGCAAGCAGGCAGCCTCCTTCAAAGATGCTGCAAGAGCTTTGCAGACCTCAGGATCAGTCGGGCTTTGGTGGTGCCAGGATGCTGCGACTTTGCACCGCCCCTCACACACACACACACACACACACACACACACACACATCGTGGTGCGCCCCGGGCAGGCAGCTTCAGGACCTGACGATCAGCGCGGGCCTCATCAGCCAGCAGGACGGCGCTTCCCTCAAGGCTCTGCTCAAGAAGGGGCCCGTCACGGTCGCCCTCAACTGGACAGACCTCATCCCCAAGGCCCAAAAGGCAGGCGGGCGGCTGGCGCGTTGAGGCTGAGGGGGTTGGTGGGATGCCTGCCACTCTTTGAGCGATCTGGGCATGTGCTGCTGCCCGCATGCTGTGGCGCTGCTGGCAGGTCGGGCTGCATTTTCTCGATGCGGCCGGTGTGGAGAGCGCCATGCGGCCCTTGCACTGCTGGGTCGTGAGGAGGTTGACCCCGCATGGGACATTTGCATGAGCGGCGCTTTCTGCGGCGCGCGTGCGCAGGTGGAATGGGAGTTTTGGACCAACAGCAACGACGAGTGCGGCTCGGTGTGCGACACCCAGCAGCGCTTCATCTCCGCGTTCAAAGCGTCCGGCAAGCAGCTGCAGATCAAGGTGGGGCGCGGGCGCGGCCGATTCGAACGCACGTGCGTCGGGCGCACGGCGGGGTCGCACGCAGCCTGGTGGCCCGGGCAGGGGCGTTTGCCATTGGCCTGAAAGGCGGCCGCCCTCAAGCCTGCTGACGTGGCAGCGCGCATCCGCGGCCCCCTCGACGCCGCCGCCGCCGCTGCTACTGCCGCCGCCCTCACCAGGGTCTGGTGGACTTCCGGCCGCACTACCTGATCTGGGTATGCCAGGGCACGGACACCAAGGAGGAGTGTGACAGCCAGTGCATCCGGGGAGGAGCGTACTGCTGCCCGGACCCCGATGATGACATACACGAGGGCTACTCAGGGGCGGACGTGCTCAAGGTGTGCACGCCAGCTGGGGCAGAACCAGGGGGGGGGTGTCGGTGGGCGAAGCGGGGCTCGCACGGGGGGCGGGCGGGTAGGTGCACATGGGGATGCAGCGGGGCAGGCAGGTTTGCGTGCGCGCACAGTCCCCAGGTGTTGACGGAACGCGGACCACATGCGGTGTCATTCGCATCCACATCTTGGTGGAGGCACGTTGCTGTTGGCGAGGCAAGGCGGCCCCGCAGTCCCCGTGACGCTCGTCTGCCCGGTGTGGCCGTATATGTGTGCGCAGATGAACGTACGCTCGCTGTGCTTCGCGCGGGTGGCGCGCGAGCGCGGGGAGCCGTGGCTGTGGTGGGAGTTTGTCGACAAGCTCGGGGCGGAGTGCCGCATGAAGGACAAGCTGTTCACACAGGAGTGTGCGCAGAAGGTGCGGGCAGGGGCGGCGCACCGCGATGGTCATTTCTATGATATGATGTGTTACTCATGTATTGTTGATATATGATTATGGGTACATGACGCCGACCCTGTTGACAGGAGGCCGGCTGATGCCTTTTCTGCGACGGCCCACGGCGGAGGCTCCGCCCCTGCAAAAGCATGCCCTTCCACGCACCACCAAGGTACAGCCTGCGCCCCGCCGGGGGCGCAAACCCGAAACAAACCCCCGGCCGCGCCTCATTGCCAGGTCTTCGACGCGGTCGCCGGCGACAACGTCGGCGGCCCCGACGGGCGCACCGCGTGGGCCAAATGCAGCGACGTCGGCCCGCCAAACGCGACAGGCTCGATCCCCATGCTGGATGAAGAGCTGGCCGCCCAGACCGGCGACAGCGGCGAGAGCACTGTGGCGATCCTGCCGACTGTCCGCATCAACAAGAAGCAGTACAGGGGCAACCTGGGGGCCGGCAGCGTGCTGCGCGCGCTGTGCGCGGCGTTCCCCACGGGGTCGGAGCCGGCGGTGTGCACCGAGACGTGGGTGTCTGAGGACGAGTGCGCGGAGGGCGGCGACGGCTGGAGGGCCTGCAGCAGCGGGTGAGCGGGCGGGGCGGCCTCCGAGGTCGGTTATGCAAGGGTGGCGGCCTGCGCGGGCTTGCGGGGGCGAAAACTCAGGGGGTCGGATGCCGCGGCGGTGTTGACTGGGGCAGCGCCGCGCGTCAGGACGCGCGCTGCCGCGTGCTGGTGGAGGCTCGACCGCATTTCGCTGCATGTGTTGTGCCGTCACTCACGCCGCCCCGTGCTGGTCGGCCCTGCCGCAGCCTGAACTCGACCCTGGGCCGCACCAAGTGCATCAACACGTTCAAGGGCTTCACGTGCGAGTGCGGCCCGGGCTACATGCGGGTCACGGACAAGGTGCAGCGGCGCGCGTTTGGTGCTTCCATGGAGAGTGTTTTCTATCCAGCAGTTGCACTCCTTCAAAGAGTGACATCAAAGCCATTGCTTCGGCGCGCCTGAAGCCCGGCAGGCAGCGATCCCACCGGGGAGGCAGCGGGGTGCATGCAGCTCATTAGCAGGGGCGGAGGGGCCGGCCGCGCCGCCTCAGGGGGTCAGCCTGGTAGGCCAAGAAAGGGCGGCTCGTGAAAGCTGTGGCGTCCCCCACTCACACGCACTCGCCCCGCAAGGCCCCCCGCGCCGCCTACGGCACGGTGGCTGCGTCCATTGGCTTGAAGGCTATGAGCGCACCCCGTCTGGAACCTTTGTGTTTTGTTGTTTCTGTCGTGGCCGAGAAACTCACCCACACGATCTTTGCGCGCGCAGGCCAGTGGGCAGGAGACGTGCGCCGAAGTGAACGAGTGCCTGCTGAGCAGCATTCCCTCCACGCGCCCCGACTGCAAGTGCCCCCGCTGCGTGTGCACCAACACGGTCGGCGGCTTCAAGTGGGTGCCCCGCCCTCGCCGCCGCGGAGCGGAGCCATTGGGGGCTTGTGTGAAGCGGCGCACGCAGCGCGGGCCCGCCCTGTGCCGAGCGCAGCCGCCACAGACTGCCTGACGTACCTCGTATGCCTGGTGAGGCTCTGCTCTGCCTCAGGATTCGCGCACACTCTTTCTCCCCTGCAGCTGCTCCGGCCCAATCCCCGAGTACTGCACCGCGGAGCATGACTACGGCGGCTGCTGGAAGGGCACGTACGGCGGCCGCCTCTACCACGCCTGCAGCGACAGCCTGCCCGCGTTCAGGTGCGTCGACACGCGTCGGCGCCCGCCGCGCGGGGCGACGTGCACGCAGCTCCTTGTCCCATGATCAGACCCTTTGATTTGATCGTTCTCTTTGCCTTTCCTCTCCGCCGTGCATTCCTCCTGAGCGATCGCGCCAGCCCCAGCCCGCTTGGCACCCACTGATCAGAATCCCAACCCTCCCCACGCCCTAACCCCCCACAACTGCTCTGTCGCCGCGCCTGCTGGAAACGCAGGTACCTGTCAGAGTGGGGCCGGATCAACGCCACTGTGAAGCCCTTCAAGTGCCAGTGCCCCCCCTGCTTCCGCGCGGTCCCCGGCGGCGGCTGCGAGCCGCAGTGCGACCTCAAACTCTGCGACGAGGGCCTGGGCGCCTGCCTGCCCACGGCCCCGGCGGCGGCCGGCGGCGGCGCCCCGGCGCGCGGCGGAGGTGCGCCCGCCCGCGCGGGCGGGGTTGACCAGATTGACCGCGCGCTTTTACCGACGGCTCGCGCGTGTTTTGCTGCTCCGGCTCCGCGGCTCGCCCATACCCTTCGCCCGCTATTATGGAAGCCGCAGCTGTGGCCCTCCTCAACCACCACCCGCC